CATGATTTATATTCAGTTAAAATAATTTTACCAACTGAATATCCTTAGCATCGCTATGATTTTTATGTGATCCAATCACGATTTGATGTGCTTTAAGAAATAAGCAAGGGACAAACAAGAAAATAAATGCAAAAGTCTTTGGAAAAACAATGTGGAAAGGCAGCAATCTGAAGGCTAAGTTCTGCTCAGTCCATCATTTTAGTTTCATGGCCATTCTCTAAATTACAGCCTTTATGCCACAGCTGAAGGAAGTTGCCCTCGATAGAGCTCAGTTAGAAATCACTCATTTAAACAATGACGCACTCCTTGCTTTAGATTGCTTTGTCATTTCACCAGGCTCAAAAACAACCCATTATGTATGACCCCAATTTGATAGTTACTTGTCACTTAGCAGCATGCTAATTGTGGGGTCAGTCCCCCAAAATAAACTATGAGGTTAAATGCACAGTTCAATTGTGAATCATTTGAGACAGATCACTTCAATGAATCCACTGATACAGCCATTCTAAATGATTCATTCATAAATCACGAGTTCCTCTCACAGTCTGAATGTAGGCTACACCATTAACTTTGCTTCTACAGCTAACTCTAATAGCCTACCAACTAGTTTAGTTTTCTGGCATGACTAAGAACTAGTAGTAGTTAGTTAGCAACCTACTTTTTGTGTTTTAGAAAAGTTGAGGGAACAACATTAGCTGTTTGAAGCAATACAGAAAGACAAACCTTAAATTTCTCAGCATATTAGAATGATTTCTGAAGGATCATGTGAATTCGTACCCGCTCAAACTTACTAGCCTGGAAATGAAACCGAAGCCATTCGCTTTATTAGATTTTCTGTAACATATTTCAAGGTAAAAGATAAATAAATACCAAGCAGCAGCAACCTTCCGGTCTCTCGTGAAACCAACACGGAAGTGACTAAAACTGCAATTCATCGACTGGCCGCTAGAAGCTGGCTCCTAAAGGGAGTCAGTCCCATAAACTCCCCATGTTAAAATGGCCAACTTTACAGCAGAAAAAAAAATGTTTACAGCCTGGTACTAAAAGTGGTTTTGGTCTATATAGCAAATTTTGCCCTTCATGACAACTGTGAGGGGGGGTTGAATTTTTTTAAAACTCAGCCGTTTAAATTATATTAAGCCTTAAAGTTCTGCATAATTAAGGGCGTGGCCACTTGAGTGACAGGTGAATTATCGCTGCTGACACTGCCGTCAAGCTAGGTGGGCGTGGTTTCAGCAACCAGCTCCTGCCTCTTTGCCCATTTTCGATTATCCGGGAGTGACGCGTGGTGACGCGCTGCCAAGATGGCAACGGCCGGCTCCACCCACTTTGAGCTTCAAAAACGCTCTTCAGAAACCTACGGGTGATGTCACGGACACTACATCCATGTTTCTATATGTCTATGATAAATACAGTTGCTTTCCAATATAAAAAAAAACTGTTATTTTAAATTGAAATATTATTTCACAATATCACAGTTTTGTTGTATGTTTGATTCAATAAACACAACCTTGAGTATAAGAGACTGCTTTCCAAACTTTTGGTATTGTAAATCTGCCAACGATATGTGGATATCCGCTGCACTGGTAACATAACTTGGCTCACATAACGGATACAACACAAATATAGACAGCCAGGTGCTCTTTTCTCCAACCTTTATTTATCCTTGGGTGGGCGGCTGAGCTCTTTATTTTTTTGGCGGTCATGGTGATGTTTGCATCGGGCTGGGACTCGTTCGGGGGTGTGGGGGTTTGGGAGGGTCACGCTGAGGACACTGTATCAGACAGAGATGTAATTGTGTCAAGTGACCCAGCCTCTGTAAAGTGGAATTCGTAGCGAAGTTGAGGCCTCTTAAACGCTACAAAGTGCTTTTTATAGGAGCGATTAAAGAAAATTACAGGGTCTGATCGTACATGATTGTCAGGGGCACGATCAGCCGCTGTGGTTTGAGCGTCTGACTGCTTCGTGCCAAGAGTGTGTGCATGTGTGGGAGAGTAAGAGAAGGATAAAAACCCCCCCAAAAAACAACAACATTAAAATCATTTAATCAATGGAATATTTTGGTTTTATAGTACGATTTTTGTGCATTGTTCTACTAGTGAAAAGCCATTTAGCCTTTTCAGGATGAAATGGGAAACTTGGAGTAGGCCTAATTGGGGTAACGTCATTTACACATCATTTAGCCTACTTTAAATTTGAATGTTCCAAAATATTCATAACCGGTTTCTAATCTGAGACTAATTTCCACTCACTTGCTCTATTTTTAGGTTGGGCTGAGTTAATATAGGTGAAGCCAATGTTAGTTAAGCGATTTTACACCTGAAAACCAAAAACCAAAGTTTGACCACTTGGTGTCATTGTGCCTGTCCAGAATAGTTCAGTCAAAAATAAAAATCATTTTATTATTACTTGCCTTCATGCCCTTTCAAACATTTATGTATGTATTGTTTATTTATGAGAAAAGGCAAAAGTAGATTTGTTTCCATGTTTTCAAAGTATGCAGCAACAGTTCATATTATCCACATCTGTCAAATTCCAAAAAGTACCATAAATGTGACCCTGGTGCACAAAACCAGTCTTACGTCGCTAGGGTATATTTGTAGCATTAGCCAAAAAAAAACATTGTATGGGTCAAAATTATCGATTTTTCTTTTATGCCAAAAATCATTAGGATATTAAGAAAAGATCATGTTCCATGAAGATATTTTGTAAATTTCCTACCGTAAATATATCAAAACGTAATTTTTGATTAGTAATACGCATTGCTAAGAACTTCATTTGGACAACTTAAAAGCGATTTTCTCAGTATTTTGAATTTTTTGCAACCTCAGATTCCAGATTTTCAAATAGTTGTATCTCGGCCAAATATTGTCCTATCATAACAAAACATACAACAATGGAAAGCTTATTTATTCAGATGTATAAATCTCAATTTCAAGACTTGACCCTTATGACTGGTTTTGCGGTCCAGAGTCACAAATAAACTTTTACTAATATACTAATTTAAAAGTAAACTATGTTCCTCTAAAAATAACATGGTTCTAGTGGGTGATTCAGATCTGGCACACAACGTTTGCCAATCAGATCACCTGTACATCATTTTCTGTACTCTTTTTTTTTCCCCAATAAAAGTGACAAAAACTAAACAAAAGCAATAAGCACTCATCTAGTATCTAGGCTAATATAGCATCCTTCCTTAGCACTAGCAAGTTCTTCTCTACAAATAGCACATTCTCTTCACAGATGCCGTGGTAAAGCAAGTCTGCTGGTGTTGCGTTTCCTCCTGTCATCACTGCTGTCACTAGCTATGCATCGCTATTTGAAATCTGCTTGTTTGTACGTCTTAAATTATCACCGCTGTGACGTTAGCATAGCAGCACTCCACCAAACGATAAGCTCACTGGACCAATTCGTAACTTTGCCCATGTCTGTGTGCCAGCATCCTAGAGTCATAAGTTATGCCATCACGTCTACACTGGAGTGCTTGGAATTGACCCTCTAACATTCTGTCTTCAAGCACAGAGAGGAAGATGGATAATATTACAGTGACAGTCACGCTCAACTGTTCATTTCCTTCAGCTGCCAGCAAAATCATACCTCTTCAAAGTCAGGAATGTTTACTGCTCAGAAATGTAAATTATGATGATATAATAAATACTGACTCAAACGAGACCGTTTTTTTCATATTGAAAACATGACATGTAGATATAATTTCATAACTTAAGTGTGTGTATATGTTATTAATATGTATACTATACAGATACGTTTATACGTATATATACAGTGTATGTATATGTATGTATATGTCCACTGTTTGGTTACAAAAAATCTTCGAAATGAAAGAAAAAGAACCAACTGAAAGAAAAAAAATCTCATACAGGTTTGGCAGAGTGGATATAAATAGAAAGTCAAATCAATTGGTTTTGTAAAAATATGATGTTCCTATTGACATTTATGATTTTTGATGACAGACTTTGGTATCTTGGCAAATTTGAGCATATTTCCCAAGATACCAAAGTCTGTCATCAAAAGCCATAAATGTCAATAGGAACATCATATTTTTACAAAACCAATTGATTTGACTTTCTATTTATATCCACTAGCTTATGAAACTCAATAATAAGTTTGTCTTTTAAACTCTGCTGTCTAATAACAAGATATTGAAATATTAAAGCACATTTATGTAGTTTTGTGCATTTCTGTTATTTTAGAGCCCCCTACAGTTAAGTGACTGGATTTTCCTGCCGTAAATACCGCACTGTCATAATTATAGCGCCTATCTGTAAACGTTCATTTGCTGCTGCCGGAAACCAATCCGCCCTTTTTCGCAGAATTTCGTACTCACCAAACATACATACTGTACTACCAGAACAGAGGTCTTCTAATAAGCCATTCACTTTAGTAGAATTCAGTTGATTTCAGTTAAGCTGATATTTGAAGTTAAGAAACGTATACAGTTGTTTTAAAGAAACTCATTTGCTATTCTTTTTCCAATGTGAAAAAGAAGTACCTTCATTGGAGAAAAAAAATCATGCCAAGTATAGTTTTTTCATATCACTTTCTGAATACATTTTCATTCTAATTATGCCTATAGTCTTAATATAAAATGTTTAAATGTTACATATTTATGAGTGAAAAGGTTTGTCACTGCCAAAATACCACGGCGGATTGCCTGAGCACCTGGAGCCAGTACAATAAAATGTCAACAAAAAAATTACATTTCACAATATGAATTAATGATGAGGTGTGTTTCCACAAAAGCAGATGTTTAGAAATGACAGGAGACCCCATACTGTTAATAAAGCACAGATTGCAATAACTCCAAATGTATCATACTAACTTAAATAGAATTAAAAATATTACTTTTCTAACTGTAGAAATACATTGCTATCCATAATCCAAACACCTGTGGAGGAGTGCTGTGCAGTTGATAAGGTCATAAAAACTGAGGTGTGTGTCCAATGTTATATCCAACCATAATGTTGTGTGTCTCTCCACAGATGTCCTTTGTCCAAACATGAAAGTCCAGGCGGGCCGTTTCCGGCCGAACAGCACCAGTGCTGGACTGACGGAGGTCCCAGGTAATGTTTTCTCTTCTCTATTCTTCCCATAATGCTTTAGTGTCAAAAAAGTGTCATGAAAGCCCCTTCAGCGTCATATCAATGCACTCTTTGCATCCTAAAATGGTTACATGGTGTCATGAATAGTTACGAGACAGCAATTTCTCATAGCAAAGACAATGTAGTTTCAATTATAATTTGAGCTTACTTTGGTCACTAATCCATTTGTTATAAATTGGATTTTTACATGAAACATAATGGATGATACAGTAATATAGTCTACAACTCAAGCTGTAGTGATTCAGATCCTTAAATATACTGCAGCGTTTCTGTTTCATCTTCAGATGTGAGAAAACCAAAACATTTCAAATTATCCCTAGTGCATTTTATTTCAATTAGAGGTCAAAAATAAAGAAAAGTGCACTGTATAATGATTCTGACATATGGACTTCCAATCCTGCACTTCAGGGTTTTTTGAAGTCTTTTTTTGTGTGGACGTAAGTATTAATACCACAAACTACAAGCCTAGTTTCTATGTGTAAAGTACTTTTGGATCAAAAATAAAGCTTTCTTTTCCCCGAAGGTTGCGCTTTAAAACATAAAACATTGCAGCGAGACACTGAGGTTTCGAAATAAGAGATCTTTTGCCCTCCTCTGTTCTAAGAAATGTGGAGTTCTTTAGTGATTACACAGATCTGGAGGATGTTGTGTTTGGGTCTTCAGGGGGTTCTGAGTTCCTCTGCGAGACACCAACTCAAATTCATCAACCTAAGTAAAAAAACAGATCGAAACAGAGAGAGAGAGAGTGAGAGCTCTTACCTGTGTAAGTAAATGACTATACAATCTGGAGCTATAGGGGTGTGCACTATAGAAGCTCTTATTTTGGAACTACTATGTACAAAATGGTCAAGAGAACCATTACTCGTAAATCTGATGAGGTTTGGTCATGTTTTAATTGCTCAGTACACAGAAAAAAAGGGTGGCCAAAATTGTACCTTTTGGGGTACAACAGCAGCTTTTCACTGAAGCAGTACCCTTAAAATGACATATTTGTACTTTTTTTTTTTTACCCCTATTAGTTACATATTAGTATCTTAGAGAAGTAATACGTACGCTTATGGTACTAATAAGTACCTACTATGGGTAAAAAAGGTACAAATATGTCTTTTTAAGGGTACTGCTCCAGTGACAAGCTGTTGTACCCCAAAAGGTACAAATCTGATCTCTTTTGTCTGTGTGAATCTATCTTGAAAAATCCTCAGAGAAGTTGCAACCCTGGGAAATGGAGGTGACTCATGATTTATTCTTTGAAAAAGACAAATAACTCTTTCTTATTTTTATATTTTTATATATGCATTGCTTCAAAACAATGTAAAACTTCTGGAGGTTTCTGAAATGTGGTCCGTTTGACTCTAATTATACTACTTATAATGAGGAAAAGTGCTGTCTTTGGTATTCAGGTGAAGTTTAAAGTGTGATCTCTCCATGTCTTAACATTATTTGTGGATCACTGCACTTTCTTCTTCGCTTCTGTCATCTTCAGCTTCGTAGGCTTGACGTTTAAGTGCTTAGATCTGTTTGGTTGCGGTTCTTTTGGATTGCACTGACTAGACTACATCTCTTGGTGGCTGTAAGTGTTAATTATGGCATCTTGCTCCTGTAATCTGTGATATTCAAGAGAACAACACAAGCTAAATCTTCAGGGAAATTCCAGGTTCACATAAGATGTCACAATTGCTGAAGCTGCCAACATCTGTATGCTGTTTCTGAAGTTTGGAACATCACTCTTAACCAAGGCAAGGCCAAAATGGACACAAAAGGTTGCTGACTCAAGATTGCTTCTGTAAAGTAACCTAATAGCGACAAAAAACATTTGTAATGAAATTTGACATCATTGTGTCCTTATAAGAAATTAAGTGTAAGTGTATTAATGGGATAGTTCACAAAAAAAAATGTAAATTATGTCATTAATTACTCACCTGTATGTTGTTCCAAACCTGTGAGACCTTCGTTCATCTTCGGAATACAAATTAAGATATTTTTGATGAAATCCGAGAGCTTCCTGACCCTCCACAGACAGCAAGGCTCCTACCACGTTCAAGACCCAGAGAGGTACCAAGAACATCAACAAAACAGTCCAAAATAATCGTGGTACTCTCGATAATGGCAGAAGATGGTAAAAAAAAAAGTTGAATAAAGTCTTTATTTTATTTTATTTTTTTGTGCACAAAAAATATTCTTGTAGCTTCATAAAAATATAGTTGAACCATTGATGTTACATGGACTATTTTGTCGATGTTTTTGGTACTTTCTGGGTCTTGAACGTGGTAGGACCCTTGCTGTCTATGACGGGTCAGAAAGCTCTTGGATTTCATCAACAATATTTTAATTTGTGTTTCACAGATGAACGAAGGTTTTACGGGTTTGGGGCACAAGGGTGAGTAATTAATGACAAAATGTTTATTTTTGGGCGAATATGCCTTTAACTCAATTACATGGTTCATATAAGTTTTCCATGTGTGGTCCTTACTACCTTTTCAACATTACATTGAAATTTTAAAGATTCTTCATCAAAAGTGTCTTATTGCATTTTAGGTATATGCCTACTGAGAGTCAAACCAAAGTCCCTTTCAAGAAGAGTCTATTCACTCTGAGGCCATATTTGCAATGTGTTCAGGCAGCTAATTTGGGTATTCAAGACCAAGTCTTATCTACTGTACATGAATAGGGAAATCTTGAAATCTAAAATTCAATTCAAGTTTATTTGTATAGCATTTATTAATTTTATTTTATTTTTTTGTGCACAAAAAATATTCTTGTAGCTTCATAAAAATATAGTTGAACCATTGATGTTACATGGACTATTTTGTCGATGTTTTTGGTACTTTCTGGGTCTTGAACGTGGTAGGACCCTTGCTGTCTATGACGGGTCAGAAAGCTCTTGGATTTCATCAACAATATTTTAATTTGTGTTTCACAGATGAACGAAGGTTTTACGGGTTTGGGGCACAAGGGTGAGTAATTAATGACAAAATGTTTATTTTTGGGCGAATATGCCTTTAACTCAATTACATGGTTCATATAATTTAACACAGAGTTTTACTAAAGTTTTCCATGTGTGGTCCTTACTACCTTTTCAACATTACATTGAAATTTGAAAGATTCTTCATCAAAAGTGTCTTATTGCATTTTAGGTATATGCCTACTGAGAGTCGAACCAAAGTCCCTTTCAAGAAGAGTCTATTCACTCTGAGGCCATATTTGCAATGTGTTCAGGCAGCTAATTTGGGTATTCAAGACCAAGTCTTATCTACTGTACATGAATAGGGAAAGCTTGAAATCTAAAATTCAATTCAAGTTTATTTGTATAGCATTTATTAAGATACAAATCGTTGTAAAGCAACTTCACAGAAAATTAAGTTTCTACAATATTTAGTAGTAGCTTATCATTGGTGACTATGTCAGTTAATGTACATATGGCAGAAATGCACGGAAGAATCAATTAAAGACGTTGTTTTAGATTAAACCATTAAGGGTTTAATCTAAAACAAATGCTTGCCACGCTCACATTTAAAAAACAAAGTGCATGTTAGATTTTGTTGCTAATTTGAAATATCTCATAAATGCTGTTTCTTAAGCTCAAATGGCATTAAACAAGCATATAGTTCAGGACCAGCCAATGCGCACGTGCAGTCGCAAGCGTGGGGCACTGAACGTTTCGGGACACTGAAAAATACCTCCCTACAATGTAGTATGAGAAAAACAGTACGCCTAAAGAGTAGTATGACTGAATTCATAGTATTTGAAAAACAGTAGGTGAAGAGACAACCTACCAGACAACCTACTACCTACTACTTGTGCCGAGATTTTGAAGTGTGCATTCGATAAACACTTTACTATTTTTACACTTTACTCTTTATTAAGCGACCCAACTGATACTGGTAGGTCACGTGACAGTAACAACAAGGCAGATGTAGCATGTGCCCATGTTCATACTATATAAAACATACTTTTTAATGGTTACAAAGCAAGTACAAATTTCAAATTGTAGTATCCTACCTACTTAGTATGCGACTCTGGACGCACCACTTTTCTTTGGAGATATTCCGCAATATTGTGTGTTGCACATTCTTCCATTCATAGTAATATGAGTGCACTCGTCTTGATATATACCATTTTTTTGGTCGAATTCATGACTGGCATTGACAGTGCTGTTTGAGGTACAGGTTTTGCGCATGCGCATGGCGAGGCAGCACTTTTTGAGCGGGAGATTTTCAAAAGATCGGCGCATTTCAAAACCTGATATAGGGTACAAAGAAATAGAACGTAAAATTAAGACGCGTTGTTTTTCAGCACCTTAAAAAATCTTATGCTGGTAGATGCTGCAGGGAAAACACCAAGAGATCCTTTAGCACATGAGTCTGGATCAAAGACAGACTTGAACCACAGAGACGTTTGTCATGCTGACGCACTGTGACCGTGTGTAAAGCGCAGCCGTAGAGTTTTCATGCGGCGACATTGGTCTGGTTTCCAGATTGTTACGTTGTGTGCAGAAGTGCCCATGTGTTCGGATCAAGACACGAGTTGGAACGCACTCATCTGTGCCGGCCCACAGAACCCACCCAGCCTTCCTCGCTCTCTCACTGTTTAAAATAAGACTCGGTCGTGATTATACGCTTTCACTCGCCAGGCCCAAATTACAGGTTCCTCCAGGCTTAGAAACGCTACCGGCAGAGAGTCGTGCATGGCCCATGGAGATGCTGAGACAAACAGAGAGTAGTGGAAATGAGCTGATGAGAAGCGAACAGCTGGAGGAAGAGTAGAACATGGTGTGAAATCAAACAGCTCAAATGAATACATCAAACTGATCAAACCATATACTAGTGCACAGAGAACACCTGGATAAATTAGTCTTATTTTTAAGATGATAAACTTTCAGAGGTTCAGAAGCTACAAATTAAAGTTTAATGAGGTCACTTGAGTTAATCGCATGTTAAAGTAAAAAAATAAAAAAAAATTGT